GACCAGAGGAGCCCCTTTGTTAGGTGAAGTAGGGGGATGACTGACAGGTATGGTGTCAGCATAGGGTCGGTGTCAGCATAGGGTTGGTGTCAGCTTGGATCACTACCCTCTTTGCTGGCAGCAGTGCACAGCAGCACTCCCCTGGCTCCCATGCATGCTCCATGTTCCTTCTGTGTTTCTCCTCCCATCCCCGATCTCCAGGGAGGTGGCAAGGTTGTGAACATAGGCCCCCCCCACCCCCCCCCCCCCCCCCCCCTCCTTCGCCGGCTCCAACTATGCGGCCAAGGCTGCAGTGCACATCATCGTTCCCCAGGCTCTCTTACATGCTGCCAAATCCATTCCTCCCATTCCAATCTCCAGAGCAGCGGCAAGGTGCTCGGCTCACTCCCCTTGCTCTGTGTTCTTTCTGTGTGTCACCTTACGTGAAGGGGGTATGTGACTGTGCGGCCCATGTGGCAGTGCACAGCATCACCCACGTGCTCAAGTTGGACATAAAGCCGTTTGGAGTCCAAGGCATGCTCGTTGCCCTAGGGGCTATCGGGTGAGTGAGAGAGGGTTAAAGCAGTACCCCAATAAAGGGCACCTACTGCACAACCAAGGCTGCAGTGCATAGCATCTCCCATGCACTCAGGATGGAGCTGAAACCCTTTGATATCCAAGTCATGCTCGTTGCTTCGGGTGGTATCAGGTATGAAATGGCAGTAGAGAGCTCTAATCCCCCAGTAGCTCAAGGTCTACTCTCACGTTTAGATGCAGATAGAGCCTAAAACCGAAACGCTCATACTGTCACCCTTACCACCTGCCACTGCTCCCCTCCCCCCCATCCCAAGTCCAACTTCGGTGGAAACTCCTCATCTTTTGTCTCCCACTTGCAGCTCTAAACCATCTCTCGCTCCCAGAGCCGACAAAGGCCACTGAATGTAGGTTCCCTTCCTCTCCCCCCGACACCCCACGCCCCCTCCTCTACTTACCACCTGTCCCATCCCATTCCACCCCAGGTCCAACTTTGGAGGCAACTCCTCCTCCTCCTCCTCGTCCATCTCTCACCTGCAGCTGAAGGTCTTCTCTCACTTCCAAAAGAAGATACGACGTCCAGAGGCATCTCCGCCATGGGGCTAAAGCACCCTTCCCAGCTAGCTACTGTAGCTGCCATTTCCTCCCTTACTGCTGTATGAGGTATCAATCGCGTCACCTGCTCCACCATGTGACGAACCACCGCCCGGGTGACTGTAAGTAGGCCAGCGACGTCCAGAGGCATCTCCCTGCTAGCTAGCTGCCATTTCCTCCCAACCTGATGTACGAGGTATCAATCGCGTCACCTGCTCCACCATGTGACGAACCATCGCCCGAGTGACTGCAAGTCGGCCAACGACGTCCAGAGGCATCTCCGCCATGCGGCCAAAGCACCCTTCCCAGCTACCTAGCTGCCATTTCCTCCCTTACTGCTGTATGAGGTATCAATCCCGTCACATGCTCCACCATGTGACGAACCACCGCCCGGGTGAATGCAAGTAGGCCAACGACGTCCAGAGGCATCTCTGTCATGCCGCCAAAGCACCCTTCCCAGCTATCTAGCTGCCATTTCCTCTTTTACTGCTGTATGAGGTATCAATTGCGTCACCTGCTCCACCATGTGTCGAACCACCGCTTGGATGACCGCAAGTAGGCCAACGACGTTCAGAGGCATCTCTGCCATAGGGCCAAAGCAAAGCACTCGCCCAGTCAACTATTATTTCATTCCAAAATCATCGTACAAGCTAGCTATGTTCTCACCTGTCTTCCTGGGGTTGACTCGAGGGCGAGCCGTGCAGAGTTTTCTGCTATAACGGGAGCTTTCTGCGGAAGTGCCTAACGCAGATCGAGCTACTCTAGCTCTGTAGATCTCTAAGGAGAGAGTTGCCTTCAAACTTGTGTGTCTCATACGGTAGCTTGAGAAAGCTTGCACACACAAATTCACTAGAATCAAGAATACAACAGATGGTACAAAGGCAATCACTAATACTACCTCATTGAACACTGCTAGAAGGTTCCTACTAGAACGTTTACATAACTACTTTGAACTGCACTTAGCCAAGTCAGCAATGGCAGGTGAAAATTATAGCACATTCTTAGTTGGTAATTTTCACCAACCCAAGTAGTTGTTTAACAGTTTCAGGTGATGAGCGTGGACCAATCGAGCGTGTCACTGTACATGATGTTACAGCATCGAACTCAGCACTTACAGCCTTCAAAGGGGTGGAAATTCGTGCACTTTCGGAACGGCCTCTTCTTGCCAAAAAGGTGTTTCTTCCGAAGGACTGTTCGTAGAAGAGCGTTTCGCGATCTCTTTCTGCAGAGCCCACAGAAGAGAGCTCCGAACTCTTTCTGTAAACCTCCCATAGAAGATGGCAAATCTCCTGCAGTGCGCCTAGGGCCCTTTCTACAGCGCGTGCCGAATTTCGATTCTGCCACTGGGTTGCCTGTAGAAGCGCTTTCCGTGCACAACCTCTCGAAGCTTGAACGCCTTCTCGAGCAGAGCCTTTAATTGTGCCAAAATGCGTCCTGCTCCGACTTGTAGCCAGAAGATCGCCGACGTAGACGAGCAGATAGCACTTGTCGCCTTGTTCATCTTCGTGGAAATAGAAGGCTTCGTCAACCCGACTCTTCGACCAGCCTCCGCCGTGCAAAACGCCATCGACCTCTTCGTACCACAGCTTAGGACTCTGCTTAAGTCCGTAGAGGCTCTTCTTCAGCTGACAGACTCTACCAGTTCCATCGTCGTAGAAGTGTGGCTGCTTCTTGTACAGAGGACGATCGATTGGGGCATTCAGAAAGGCATTCGTCTTGTCCAGCTTCATCAGCTCCCAGTCAAATGACTAACTGCAAAAGAGCAGTTCCATAGCAGCCGATGGGAGCATAGGTCAGGTCATAGTCGAAGTTGGGCAGCTGCGTGAAGCCTTGAACAACAAGACGTCTCTACTCTCTCTCTACCGTATTGCTGGAAAGATACTTGGTAGCAAGAACCCAGCGATTTCCCATCATATTGACGCTAAACCAAATCCCAAGTTTCTTGCTCCCACAGAGTCTGCATCTCCTTGTCCATCGCCACCTTCACTGCGGGGCCCTTCCGAACCTTCAAGGCCACAGGAACAGGCATCTTCGCAATGTCCCAAGGACTATCTGGATTTGTGGCACGATCTTCTGCCGAATGAAGCCCCGCTAGAGTTACGTCTTCGTCTCTGCCGTCGAGGGCATTCATCGGAGGAGAGGGGGGGAAGGGGAGGGGGGGCTCTTCTACCTTGCATACTCCTGTGCCGACAAACCTCCCGAAAAGGTTTCGGCTGAAAAATAGGGGTTCTTGGATCGACGATCTGAAAACGAACCTTCCGAGGCGGTTCCGCATGAAGTAGGGTCCTTGGCGAGATCGATCGTTTCGAGCGCAACCGTTGCAGCCGATCCCGCCGGTCGATTTCCTTTCTCTGCGCCAACACCTGGGAGACCTTTGCCTTTCAGGTTTGGACACTAGAGTCGACTCACAAGCCGCTCCCACCGGTCGATCGCCTCGCTCTGGGCAGATAGACTTTCATTTGACTTTCTAGCGACGAAACTTTTAGCCCACATACCTCCCGAGGTGGTTCTCCATGAAATAAGGGTCTTTCGTGAGGTCAATGGTTTCCAGCGCCAGCCATCGTAGCCGCTCCCGCCGGTCGATCGCCTCACTCTGCGCCGACGCCGCGCCTTTACTGCCGGGCTTGCTCCCCCATTCGCGATCCATGGCGGACTACTGTGCAAGAAAGCGAGCTGGTTGGATCCACCCGGACTAACTCTCAACGAACCAGCTACTCGCTAAGTAGCTCCTCGCAACCAGCAAGCTGGTTCCGCTTAGACTTACTAGTTTTTTTGAGAACAGAATTCTTTTGGACTGATCTCCTGCGGACTAGCTTGTGAGGAAAAACCAACTTATTGGGAACTATTTAATATCTCATGAGCCTCGTTCACTTAGACTAACGTCTAGTGAACTTGTTCGTCGCAATGTATTTCCTCGCAACGTAATTCCGCAGTTTAGTTTCCAGCGACCCAATTTCTCGCTGCTAGTCTCTGGCGACCTAGTCGTAAGATCGGTAGTCTCAAGGGCTAAGGAAGAGATTGCACTAGGGACAGGCCACTGGATCAGAATGAGGGAAAATGAGAGTAGAATAAGTAACGAAGAGTGTTATATGGACGACAGAGGAAACTACTGCAAAATGTCGACCCTTTACCACACTCAACTGCAAGGTAACCCATCATACCCTAACTCTGCAGTCTACTAAGGGCGCATTCCTACGCGCTCCGGCAGTTTACCTTTCCTCGATTTGGTGTACATTTCCCGAGTCGTGCGGCAGTTTATCCCAGCTTCTCGTCACATTGCGTTTTTGGTGGGCGACCAGATGCGACCTCCCTGCGACGCCAGATGGCAACCGATGTCTTATTGATTCCGAAGTGCAAACTTCGATAGCTGCACATGTCCAACCACAAATTTCCTAGCTATGCAAAACGTAACAGCGCAGCATACACACAGAAAATTGCTCATCACGAGCAATACGCTCTCGAAACTGCGCAAGGAAATCACAAAAGGCAAAGAAGGACGAGAGATACCAATGTACGCACTCCTCCACCCCATTTTCCTTGGGCTGCCCAGCTTGGGATTGCTGGCAGGGAGGGATATTCCGCTCCCGACATTTGGGAGCATGCGGTAGTTCGCAACTGTCACGGGCTGGTTTCCAGTTGGTTGTTTCAAGTAGCGGACATTGCGGTACCCAATAGGGTTGATACAAGATTCCCACAGCAGCGGCGCGCTAGACTGACGAGTGGCAGAATAGACTGGAACCTTTCGTCACTTCATAAACTGCCGCAACGAAAGGCCCGTAGGAATGCACCCTAAGATGCCTCTACTTTGCATTCTTCATGGTATGGATTTTTTCCCCAATGTGCGGTGATACTTTGCTGACAGCACTTAGTGATGGACAATCTTTCACACAAAAACGAGCCACTAAAAACAATTCCATGTACACAAAAGCCAAAAATGCAACATCCCTTCCCTTCTGAACTGCATTCACAAGAAGGCTCACTGCACCAGCTCATAATAGGCTCCTACCGTATTACCCCAAAACACATATGCCAGACTGCCACTCAAGTAAGGAATAGACTCAATGATGTCGCCTGTGGGCGAACGATCCTCTCTTTTCCTTTCAAGAAACCTAGAAAGGAGTGGAACCGATGATGTTCCCTTGGGGCGAGTAATCGCACACCCATATGCCGCCACCATCCGGGCACTGTGCCGACGCGCACCCCACATGCGTCGTCTCCCCCCACACCACCTGCGTGTAGTGCCCACACATCCTCCCCTCCGCACACCCCTCGGGTACGGGGCTATACGTCCAGTCCGCCTTCTCATCCACCCATGACTGCACAGCCATGCGATCTTCCTCAGGGGTCAACCCCGCCGGCGCGCGCCAGTACAAGTTCTGCCCGAGCCCATCTGCTCCGCCGTGCTCCAAGGGGCACCCCCTGGAGGCGAGGTTGTTGGCCCAGTCTTGCGCCGCTGCTGCCACACCGTCGTCCCATGCCAGGTCCAGGATGCATACCTCCCGCCGGGCGGCGTTGTGCATGTCGAGAATCGCAGCAATGTCAATGCTGCCGCTGCTGCCGCCGCTGCCGCTGTCACCACCACCGCTGCCACCGTCGCTATAGTCACCACCACTGCCATTATCACCATTGTAGTCACCACCATTATCACCATTGTAGTGACCACCGGCATAATCACCATTGTAGTGACCACCGCCATAATCATCATTGTAGTCACCACCGTAATCAGCGGTCTTGCCCTGTGCAGATGAAAGGGAGCCAAGCCGCTCAGCCCCGCGATTCACTCCGTGCCTGCTGCTGCTCCTTTCAGCACCACGGTTCCTCCTGTGAAGAGCCACATCTTTGCTCGTCGCCTTGTGAAACTCCACCCCCTCAAGCTCAAACCGGTCGTTGAAGCTAGTCTCGCCGCGCGTTGACACCCTCATGGCGCCCTTCCTGCCGTTTTCAACGCCGTTCTGCTTCCTGCCGTCCTGGCCTTCTTTCAGCAGTGGCGTGGACCTGTGAGTAACTGGCGCATCCTCGGCTGATGCCTTGCGGAAGCCCACGCCGCGTCCGTTTGCCTTGGAGTTGCCGGGATGGGATGACGCCATGGCTGCGGCGCCACGACTCGCCTGATTTCTGTGCCGAATCGCCACATCGACAGCTGATGCCTTGTGGATTCCCATGCCGCGTTCGTTTGACTTGGAGTTGTCGGGATGGGATGACGCCTTGGCTGCGGCACCGCGATTCGCCGAGTTTCTTTGACGAGTCATCGCCACATCCTTGGCCGATAATGACTTGTGAATTCCCGCGCGGTGCTGGCTCGCCTTGGGGTTGTCGGATGACGCCATTTCGGCACGATTCTGATTCCTGTGCTGAATCGCCACATCCACGGCCGATGATGACTTGTGAATTCCCGCGCGGTGCTGGCTCGGCTTGGGATTGCCGCCGGTGGATGACGCTGTGGCGTGTGCGGCGCCATGATTCTGATTTCTGTGCCGAGTCATCACCACATCCTTGGCCGATGACTTGTGAATTCCCGCTCGGTGCTGCCAGCGGCTCGTCTTGGGATTGGCAGATGGCGCCACTGCGGCAGCGCCATGGTTCTGATTCCTGTGCAGAATCGCCACGTCCTTGGCCGATGCCCTGTGAATCCCTGTGTGGTGCTGGCTCGTCTTGGGATTGCTGTTTGGCACGGTGCCGTTTGTGTTCGTGTCATTTGCTGCCATGGCAAACGTGCCGTCCGCGTTCGTGCTATTCGGAGCCATCGTAGACGTGCCGTTTGTGCAGTTCGCGCCGTTTGGCGCCATTATAAATGGCACAGTGCTGTTCGTTTCCTTCGTGCCGTCCGCGTTCGTGCTGTTCGGAGCCATCGTAGACGTGCCGTTTGTGCAATTCGCGCCGTTTGGCGCCATTGTGAGCGGCACGGTGCCGTTCGTGCTGTTTCCCGCCGTTGTAGTCAGCGTGCCGCTCGTGCTGTTCGTGCCGTTAGCCGCCATAGCAGCTGTGCCGTTTGTGCTCGTGTTGTGAATCGCCACATTCCCGGCTGATGCTGCGTTGTGGAACCCTCTCGAAGCGCCATTCCCGTTTCGGCCGCCGCCCTGCTTGACGCCGCGTGCGCCCTTTCCAGCTGAGCCGTTGCTTGATGCGCCCGCGCCCTTGCCTGCGGCGCCCTTACGTGCTGCGCCCTTGCCTGGAGCGCCTGCGCCGTTATTAGCTGCGAACTTGGGATGTGCGCCTTCGCCACGAGCTGCGCTCTTCCCAGATGCCTTGCCGCCAGAACCAGCGCGGGGATGGGGCGCACCAGCGGGATGGGGCGCACCAGCGGGCGGCATGGCCGGATCAGCGGTATGGGGCGGACCAGCGGGATGCGGTGGCGTAGGCGCGTGAGCAGCGTCGATTTGCTGAAGAGCCTTGGGAGTGGGGATGACACTGTCGGCATGATCGGCATGATCGGCATGATCGGCATGACCGGCATGATCGGCATGATCGGCATGATCGGCATGATGGTTCATTATCGGACGATGCGTCGGAGGAACATGATCATTTTCAACGTCGGCGTCGGCGCCGTCTTCATGCAGTTGAGACTGAGTATGCTTGGAAGCATGGGGCGAGAAGGAGCCTTTGTCCTTACTACTAGGGGCGTTTGGCACGTCCTGAGAGGCCTTGGAAACATTATTACCACTCGTGACGGTTGCTGTTGCGAGGTGGGCCAAGGACGCGCCGATCAGCAGAACGATAATCATGAGTGGGGCCGCTGTGATCCGTGGTTTCGCCATGATGCCCGTCCAACGCGGATATCGCGTTAGCTTGTTGCGCGTCGAAGAGAATTCGACGCTGAATTCAAGTGGAAGTACTACAAATACCTCTACTGGAGGAATTTCTTTAGCCAGGAAACAAGCAGCGGGGCGCGGGTTTGGCTGGGGGGTGGAGGAAGCGGGTTTCAATTTGCTCGATGTGGTTTGACATTCTGCTCGGTCCAATTTTATATATTTCCAACTTTGCAGTCCGCGATTCGGCTCGTGTCGGTGCGGTCTGAGGGGAAAATTGCGACGCACGGCGAACTGAGGTTACGGACTTCGATTACCGTGAGCGAGACTGGTGAGGCAAAGTCGACGAAGCGCGAAGCCAGGTGACGGAATTTCGGGTGGAGTGAACGAGAGGGGGGAGTGGGTGAGGTTGGTGTGACAAACCCAACTTTTCCCAAAGCCCACGAGGGTCTGAGTGCCTAGCGACTTCTGACGAAGAGGTGGTCCGACCAGGGCGATCAACGAACTGCTGTTTCGGTTACCACAGCTGGGCGAAAACGAATTCAGACTGCATCAAGATTTTTTTTCGCCTCTTCCCCCCAAACCTTCCCCCCCCAATCCCCCCCCGCCCCCACCTCACCCCCTCCCCTAACGCCAGGGTCTCAAGTACCGAGATCTGGCAGCAACTGCAAAACATTTGCTGCGTGGTTACCCCGTTTTGAGTGCGCGACACACCCCCTTTTGCCCCCAAAACCATTTGCAAAACTTCTGAGTTTCCACTGCGGTTTGGTGGCGTTTTAGGCCTGGTGACTGAACCAAGCCCGTGCCTAGCTGGTTTGGTTTTGAAACATACGAAACCCAAATGAACTCGCCACCCGTCGTCAAAACTCCAACCAAACCTGCACGTCGCCCGCCAATCCCAACAAACACCTAACTCCAACTGCAAAACAGTTGCTCTACTTGAGACCCTGGCTTTAACCCCCTATTTGGGCTGCGGTTTCTCCAATATCTGCTGCTTCTGCCTTTGCTTCGTGATCGTCCCAAAACAATGGAGTTTCGCGACTAGTCCGCTAACACTTCTCTTCACCACCTTTTACTGAATGATGTTGTGGTGTTTGTTGCGCGAATCGTAAATTGCACGATGGTCGCGCGTTTCGCCGCCGGCCAGTCGCGTCTCAGCTCCTCGTCCACTTGAGCAGTAGGGGAACGAAATTAGAGACGTCGTAAAAACCAATTCCTACAGAGGTAGGAGGGACAGACAGAGAGGGAAGGTGAAGCCAGAGAGCGGGGATGAACTCGCTCCTGCGGCGGTTGGACGGAAGCTTTCTGCCTGAGCTCACTCAGAACCGCATAACTTGACAGAGTCTCCGAGACGTTGAGTCAACAATGGCCATTTTTTAGGCGCCTAAAAAATCTGCTTCCTGTCTGAGATCACTCAGGACCGCATTATTTCACGGACGTCTCAACTCACGACGCTCATTCTGAGTCCAAGACGCTCATTCTGACTCCCTTGGAGCGCGACCACGACAATGAAAGTGTGAGTCTTCGCAGTTGGCCCGTCTGACCGCTTCCCCTTGACCAGCATAAGCGATTTCCCTCCACCTCTCTCCCTCCACTTCTCTCCTTCCACCTCTCTCCCTCCACCTCTCTCATTCCCACCTCTCTCCCTCCCACCTCTCTCCTTCCACCTCTCTCCCTCCACCTCTCTCCTTCCACCTCTCTCCCTGCCACCTCTCTCCCTCCCACCTCTCCCCCTCCACCTCTCTCCCTTCCACCTCTCTCCCTCCACCTCTCTCCCTCCACCTCTCTCCCTCCCACCTCTCTCCCTCCACCTCTCTCCCTTCCACCTCTCTCCCTTCCACCTCTCTCCCTCCACCTCTCTCCCTCCACCTCTCTCCCTCCACCTCTCTCCCTCCACCTCTCTCCCACCCACCTCTCTCCCTCCACCTCTCTCCCTCCACCTCTCTCCCTCCCACCTCTCTCCCTCCACCTCTCTCCCTCCACTTCTCTCCTTCCACCTCTCTCCCTCCACCTCTCTCATTCCCACCTCTCTCCCTCCCACCTCTCTCCTTCCACCTCTCTCCCTCCACCTCTCTCCTTCCACCTCTCTCCCTGCCACCTCTCTCCCTCCCACCTCTCCCCCTCCACCTCTCTCCCTTCCACCTCTCTCCCTCCACCTCTCTCCCTCCACCTCTCTCCCTCCCACCTCTCTCCCTCCACCTCTCTCCCTTCCACCTCTCTCCCTTCCACCTCTCTCCCTCCACCTCTCTCCCTCCACCTCTCTCCCTCCACCTCTCTCCCTCCACCTCTCTCCCTCCCACCTCTCTCCCTCCACCTCTCTCCGTCCACCTCTCTCCCTCCCACCTCTCTCCCTCCCACCTCTCTCTTTTTCCTCCCTTCCTGCCGATCTCCACTCGTCCCTCCTCCCTCCCTCCCCTCCCAACCCCCTACTCCACTTCTCTCTCCCTCCAGCCTGCAGCCGTGTGCAGGCCTCTTGACCAACCACGAGGTGTTTCAACTACTGACGGACAGAGGAGCCATGGGAGCAGTGGACGTGTCGCAGGGCGGCATGGGGCCGGCAGCCATAGAGTGCCAGGTGTACCGCTACCTCTGCGCCGCCCCTGCCGCCACGCAGACACGAGCAGCGGTGGCGGCATGCACGGAGCGGGCGGCGTCGTTTGGTCTGACGCGGGCGGAAACGCTGCAGCTGGTGAACCTGCGGCCGTCCCAACCTGTAGAAGCACACCTGGTAGGTGGCAAAACGTACTCGTTATAAGCACACATGCTATGGTGACAGTTATTCGTTATAGACACATTTGGTTTGGTAGCAGCCCTTAGTTCTAGTTGACTCGATCTTCGCCCCACCCTCTCTCTCTCTTCCATTCCGAGCTGTGCAGATGATATCGGACTGTGATATGCGCCTGCCGGGCCATAGGATAGGATGGGCGCCTTACTTTCACCTCGGTTCTTTCCCTCCCTTCTCTCCTTCCTCTCTCTCTCTCTTCCATTCCGTACTGCTGCAGATGATATCAGACTGTGAAATGCGCCTGTCGGGCGTTAGGATAGGATTGAGAAACTACTACAAGCGGTTGACGAAATTGCAGCTGCAATTTGATGGAAGTTTCCTGCTCCCGTCCCCCCCTTCCCCATATGCAGAGCGTATCGGACTGTGAAAATGAAATGCGGCTGCCAGGCGACAGGGTAGAGCAGCTATTACAGGCAGTGGGAGCGTCAGCAGCTGTGATGCGAGTCGCCTTGCCTGCTCTCCCCTGTTCCTTTCTACCTTCTCCTCCTTCCCTCCCCCTGTCCAGATCATATCGGGCTGTGAGATGCGGCTACCAGGCAACAGGGTGGAGCAGGCAGCCGAGGAAGCATTGTGACCACTCCCTGTCCCCCTTTCCTTCACCTCAGTTCTTTCCCTCCCTTCTCTCCTTCCCCCCTCCTCCCCCCTCTTCCCCCCTCTTCCCCTCTCTTCCTCTGTTCTCAGATCATATCAGACTGCGAGATGCGGCTGCCAGGTGACAGGGTGGAGCAGCTACTACAAGCGGTTGAAGAAACGCTGCCAGCAGCACCAGAAGTAGAAGGAACAGAGGAAGAAGCAGCGGCTGTTGAGGGGGGTTGAGTTTTGGCAAATGTTTTTATGTGGAGCGTAAAGGCTGCGGCTGTTGAAAGGCACTCCGTGATGTGCTGGCAGAGATAAGGACAGGGGAGAAACATTGCCAGCAGCAACGGAGAGATGGTTGCAGGGGAGGGCGAGGAAGCACAAAGGCACTAAGGCTAGTGACACTAGAGCAGGGTCCTTGCTAGGATTTCAGCCCGTCTGAAAGTCAGACCAGGTTTTTTCGCTTCGTCTGACCATCAGATGGAAATTTTGCAGAAGTCTGAACTTTCAGACGACGTAGAACGAGAAGTCTGAACTTTCAGACGGGAAATTACGGTACATTGCACACAATTCTGTCTTGGAATCTCCACGCAGCTCTGACTTTCTGCCGAGATTAAAATTTCGCTGTTTTTTCGTTCGCTAGCACCAAAGGGGGCGATGAGACTTGTGGGGCCAAGGTGATGTGTCACGTGCAAAAAAACCCGAGAGACCCTAGGGTTTGCCCCGCCCCCAGGTCTGGTCGATATACGGAGAAAATTTCTACCCAGATAAAAAATGATTTGTGAATTCTACAAATTCCGGACGAGTCCTTCAAGAGTTCTCTTCCCCCCCCTCCCCCCCCCCCCCTCCCCCTTGCCCCAACCCCCTCCTCTGCAGTACTGTAATCACATGTTCCTGAACTTAGGCATTGTACAAAGTGGTTCGGGCGAGTGCACGTGGGTGGCGAAAAGAACTGGGGGGTGTGAGAATCAAGTTTGCGAAGGCGGGAGGGAAATCGGCACCATCCAGGTGGCAATTTAGTGAAGGGCCAATGGGCGCCCTCACACACACAGCCCCCCCGCAGACAGCCTACAGCGCACATCTGCAAATCAATTTTGAAGGGCCAACCAAACCCCTCACACCGCCTCCAGCACAAAGTGGTGTCAAACATGTGTATCTGCTATGTTTGCATAGACTGTATAGAGCCATCTCTTATAGGGTACAACTCTTAGCTATATACACATGTACTCTCTCCCTACTCAATTCATTCTATTTTTCGCACTTTGTTATGGTATCACGCGTAGGTTCTGACCCCCCACCTACCGCTTCCGCTCCTACCCTCGCTAGGCCTCGCCGCGCCCCTCCTGGGCCCTTCGTGCCTTGTAGCCTAGTCGCACCCCCCCTGGGCCCTATCGCGCCTCTTAACCCAGTCGCGCCCCTCCTGGGCCCTAGCGTGCCTCCTAGCCCAGACACGCCCCTCCTGGGCCCCGTCGCGCCTCTTAGCCCAGCGCGCCCCTCCTGGGCCCCGTCGCGCCTCCTAGCCCAGCCGCGCCCCTCCTGGGCCCTATCGCGCCTCCTAGCCCAGTCGCGCCCCTTCTGGGCCCCGTCGCGCCTCCTCGCCCAGTCGCGCCCCTCCTGGGCCCTAGCGCGCCCTCTACCCCAGTCGCGCCCCTCCTGGGCCCCTAGCGCGCCTCCTAGCCCAGTCGCGCCCCTCCTGGGCCCTAGCGCGTCCCCTCGTCCAGTCGCGCCCCTCCTGGGCCCCTAGCGCGCCTCCTAGCCCAGTCGCGCCCCTCCTGGGCCCCTAGCGCGCCTCCTAGCCCAGTCGCGCCCCTCCTGGGCCCCGTCGCGCCCCTCCTGGGCCCCGTCGCACCTCCTAGCCCAGCGCGCCCCTGCGTGGGCCCTGTCGCGCCTCCTCGCCCGGTCGTGCCCCTCCTGGGCCTCGTTTCGCCTCCTATCCTGGCCGCGCCCCTCCTGGGCCCCGTCCCGCCCTTAGCCCCGTCGTGCCCGCCCGGCCCTCGTCGCGCCTGCCCGGCCCCGTCGCGACCGCCTGGCCCTGACGCGCCCTGCCCGGCCCCGACGCGCCCTGCTTGGCCCCGTCGCGCCCTACCCGGCCCCGTTGCGCCCTGCCCGGCCCCGTCGCGCCCTGCCCGGCCCCGTCGCGCCCTGCCCGGCCCCGTCGCGCCCTGCCCGGCCCCGTCGCGCCCTGCCCGGCCCCGACGCGCCCTGCTCGGCCCCGTCGCGCCCTGCCCGGCCCCGTCGCGCCCTGCCCGGCCTCGACGCGCCCTACCCGGCCCCGTCTCGCCCTGCCCGGCCTCGTCGCGCCCTGCCCGGCCCCGTCGCGCCCGCCTGGCGCTCGCCTCCGCCGGCCCCGCGCCTGTCCTGCCCCGGGCTGTGTGCGGCTCGCTCGTCGTCACAGCCCCGGCCCTGCATCCTCCCTGGTACTGTCCCCCATCCCCTGCCCCACACTGCACTGCATGGCACCGTGCTGCACCCCCCTGCACCACTCTGCACCGCACTGCACCGCGCTGCACCGCCCTGCACCGCACTGTACCGCACTGGACCGCACCGGACCGCACTGCACCGCACTGCACTGCACTGGACCGCACTGCATCGCACTGCACCGCCCTGCACCGCACTGCACAGCACTGCACCGCACTGCACTGTCCTGCACTGCTCCTGATGGCGGCGGAGCTTCGCTTCGATGCTGAAGGTCAGCCACTGGAGTTCGAGGCGTGGCTTGCCGACCTCCGCCGCCACCTCACTGGTCAGAGGCAGGATGGCCACCCGCTTTCCGCACACCTTGACGGTACACTTCCCTGCCCAGACCCCCCTGCTGTGCTGCCTGCTGACCCCACACCCGCTGAGCGCGAGTCCACTGCAGCCGCTGCCCTTGCACGCTCTGTCTGGCTTTCCCGAGACGCTGTTGCTCAGCTCGCCATTAGCAATGCCCTTCCCCCGCCTGAGCGCCCTCGCTTTAGGTCCATCACTACCGCCCAGGCCTACTTAGATGCTGTCATCAAGTGCTATTCTGCCACCCTTGCTGCCTCAGTGGGCCACCTGATCCTCCCGATGCTCTTTCCTGACCTTGCGTCTTTCCCCACTGTCTCTGACCTAGCTGCCCACCTGCGCTCGATAGATGAGACCTGGCGCGCTGCCTGCACTGATGCACAGCTTAGAGCCCACCAGCCGCCCATGACCTCTACCCTCTACCTGCTTGCCACCCGCCTCCCTGACTGCCTTGCCGCTGCCCGCGACCAGTTCCTTAGCATTCACCCCGGTGAGCTCACCCTCACCGACTTCGTAGACACCCTGACTGTTATCGAGACTCGCCACCGCTCCATTGCCCAGGCGAGCGGTACAGTGCCGGCCCCTATCTTTCAGGGTTGTGCCCCCGCTCAGTGTACCTTCTCCGACGGCTCTGTCACTGTGGCTGAGACCGCTGCTGCAGCGCAGTTTCGCTTGGGGAAGGGCCGCCGCCCCAAGGCTGGGGGCGGCGGAGGAGGCGGGGGTGCAGGAGGGGGTGGTGGTGGCGTCGGGTCGTCTGGTGCTGGAGCGGACGAGGGGACCCTGCCCCGTCCAGCTGACCCGCTGCCTCCGCAGTCGCAGTAGCAGCCGCAGCAGTCGCCGCAGCCGCAGCCTCCGCAGCAGCCGCCGCAGACGAGGCAGGCGAGTGCCCTCCCGCCTGGGTGGCCTGGAGCTGGTGATGGCCGTGCGCGTGGTGGTGTGCCGGGTGGTGGTTCCGGAGGCGTGCGCTGTCAGTACCAGATCCAGACCGGTCCTCGCCGTGGCTTCGTTTGCGGTAAGATCGGTCATTCCACTCCTCGCTGTTTTCGTCGCCTGGACGACCTGTTCCGTCAGCGCTTTGGCCCGTCGCCCGACCTCCCGGACTGGCACAGTTTGCTTAGGCGTAGTATTCAGATTTTTGACTTGGACATGGATGCCATTGTAGCCGCCCTGCATGTGATGTATGCTGATGACTCTAGTGTGCTTCCTTCTTATTACCCCGTGTTGCCTAGTGTAGGTGTGTCTAGCGTGGACTCCCCTGCTGCGTCAGGCGTAGGATCACCTGCTTTGTTTAGCCTTGGTGCTTCCATCGCTTCTCCGCCGCCAGGCGCCACTGCTGCGCTTTCCTTCACCTTGGACTCTGGCGCTTCCCGGTGTTTCTTCCGCGACTCCACTACACTGACAGCGCTTCCTGTTCCTGCTGCAGTTTCTCTTGCTGACCCCTCTGGTGGTCCGGTAGTCGCCCGCAGTTCCACCTCCCTTCCCTGTCCGGCGGTTCCTTCGGGCTCTCTCACAGGTCTGCATATCCCCTCGTTCTCCAGGAACCTAGTTGGTGTCGGCTGCCTCCAGGACCTTGGCGTCACCACTACGTTCCCTGGTCACGAGCGGTATGCTGTCTGTACCGAGGCCGCCACTGGTGCCCCCCTTACCACGTTCCCCCAAGACCCGGTGTCAGGCCTGTTCACACTTGACACCGTGACTTCCCCGGCTGGGCCGTCCCCCCAGGTGGCTGCGTCTACCCAGGTTGCTGCTGCCTGCTCCTGTCGGTCCCTCACTCACCCGGCTCTCCTTTGGCACCACCGCCTTGGTCACCCTGCGCTCCCGCGTCTGCGTCACATGTCCCAGCACGGTCTCGTCCTTGGTCTCCCCGGTTCGTTCCCCGAGTTTCCCTCCTCCCCCGTCCCACCGTGCACGCCTTGCGTCGAGGGCCGGCTTTGCCGTGCCCCTCACTCCTCCTCCTTTCCCCCTACCGCCGCACCGCTGCAGACTCTGTACATGGACGTCTGGGGCCCCGCCCCCGTCCATGGGCCGCGTCGCGAGCGCTTCTTCCTCGTGCTTGTCGACGACTTCACGCGCTACACCACCGTCTTTCCCCTGGAGCGGAAGGCCGACATGCCTGACGTTCTCCTCCCCTGGCTTGTCTCTGCTCGTGTCCACCACGGTCTCCCTGTCTTCCGTCTTCACTCCGACCGTGGTGGCGAGTTTGCCTCTGGTGTCCTCGGCCGCATCTGTCGTGCGAAGGGCATCACCCAGACGTTTACCCTGCCGGACTCCCCGCAGCAGAATGGGGTCGCTGAGCGACGCATCGGTTTGGTCATGGAGGTGGCTCGCACCTCCATGATCCATGCCGGTGCACCCCATTTTCTGTGGCCGTTCGCCGTGCGCTACGCTGCTCACCAGCTTAACCTGTGGCCGCACCCTCAGCGGCCGCAGGTTTCGCCGACCCTTCTGTGGACCGGGTCCCCTGGTGACGCGTCTGCGTTCCACGTCTGGGGATGCCTTGCTCACGTTCGTGCCTCTGGCACGGACAAGCTCACGTCCGCACCCTCCCCTGTGTCTTCCTTGGTTTCCCCTTTGACGCGTCCGACTGGCACTTCTACCACCCGCCGTCTCACCGCTTCTTTCACTCTCGCGACGTCACCTTTGACGAGTCCGTCTTCTTCTATCGTCGCTTCCCCCACCGCGGTCCCCCGGTGACTCCCCCCCTGTTCCTGGTTCCTCCCTCCCAGGTGGTCCATGTCCCTCCCCCCCCCCTCCCCCCCGTCCGGCCCCCTCTGGCGTGTCTCACGTCACCCCCCTCCTGTCAGTCGTCCCGGTCGAGGAGTCTTCTGACTCTG